GCAGGATGTGGTATTTAATGTGTATCTGTTGTTAGTATTGTTAAAGGAGAAAGTCAAGACGTTTTGGCTGAGGCACTTATGTTGAGGGCCTCCATTACCTATTTACCATCTTCTCCTTTGGAGCCCTCCTTAAAGTGAAGGATGGAATATGAAAGGCTTTAAATACAGCAGGAAGAGATTTCTTCTAAATTGCTTGCAGAGTGAACACTTTCTTGAGGTTGTTGGCTGCTTTTAGCTATTGCTGCTGACAGCAGCAACTTTTAAATTTACGTTAGGCAGTGGTGGTAATGTGTGAAAAGTCTGTTGATTTAAACCAGCAGTGTTTTAACAAAAAAAATAATAAAAAAAAGTTTAAGAAAAAAAAAAATGCTTTAGAGAACAGTAGAGCTCTGTTAAATGCCTGTCAAGTTAACTTTAATTCATGTAATGCAGTGCCAGGGAAACATTTATTTATACTGCAACAATTTTTCTCATGGCCTATTTTTCTCTATTTTCATATTGAGAACTGCACATTTTCTGTAACTGATTTTTTTCTTAACAGAGTGCTTTTGCTGAGATGTAAACTGGGAGTTCTGCAGTACACAGTTGTGAGACCCGTCACTACAGTCATTGCTTTGTAAGTGTCATTCATTTGGTTTCTTGTAGAGATTAATAATACAGATGTAACATATTTATTGTGTTTATGTGGGTTTACACAATATAAAGAAACTATCGTTTAAATGTTTGGGGTCAGTACGATTTTTTTTATGTTTTTTTGAAAGAACTCTCTTATGCTCACCAAGGCTGCATTTATTTCATTAAAAATACAATAAAAAAACATTAATATTGTGAAATAATATTACAATTTGAAATGGCAGTTTTGTATTTGAATATATTTTAAAATGTAATTGATTCCTGTATTGAAAAGCTGAATTTTCAGCAGCCATTACTCCAGTCTTCAGTGTCACTTGATCCTTCAGAAATCATTCTAAGAAACATTTATTATTATTATTATTATTATTATTATGAATGTGTAAAACAGTTATGCTGCTTAATATTTTTGTGAAAAATTCTTTGAAAAAAAAAATTATGTTAGTGAAAGTGCATCTTTGGTCAACACTAATGGTTCCACATGTTGATGTGATGCTTTTAAGCACAACCTTTGCATCATTTCTGTCCTGCAAAATTAGGATTTGTCAGCTTTGTGGGGTCTATGATGAAGGAAACTTTAGCTCAAAAAATGCCTGGACGTATCTGGTTATCGTCAACAATCTCTCTCAGCTTGTAAGTACCTGTTTTGTCCTGAATATTATGTAAGACTGTCACATGATCCTGAGAGCTGAGTGAGTCTGCAGTTCCACCCAGGAACCAGACAGCAGTAAAAGGAAGATCAAATGTAACTAAAGTCCTATTTACAGAGCCATCTTTATGGGTTTTTACCAAGTCATTTGTTGTGAAGTAAAACAAACCAGACTTTACAGCCCCTTATTTGTGTTTATGCTGCTCATTAAAATGGCATATCAATAATTTGTCACTGTTGTTGCTTCAAATTAAACGGTAACCTGATCCTCTAATTTTTCTCTCTTCAGTTTGCCATGTACTGTCTTGTGCTGTTCTACAAAGCTCTGAGAGAAGAGCTGAGTCCTATCAAACCTGTGGGCAAATTCCTCTGTGTCAAGCTGGTGGTTTTTGTGTCATTCTGGTAAACAGTTCTCTACACATAGAACACTAATAATTCTGATCTGCTTCTAATAAAGTTCAATTCCTATGCTGCAGGGCAATTTTCTAGAATACACTGTAGCTTCAGGTTTAATGAGCATTACGTTATAAACAATTAAAGTTTAAGTTTTTAAATTGATGTTAAAGTAAAATAAATATGAAATATTAAAAAAGTCAAATGTGGACACATTACAGTAATATTATAGAAAAATAATAAATCTAAAATTAAGTATTTCTAAAATAGACATTATAACATTATATCGTAATAGACAGTACTATATAATTATTTTTAAGACCTTACATTTTATATTCAAATAAAAAAAATCTAACATTAAAATGAATAATTATTATAATAATTCCCCAATACCCGTCATTTTTATGATAATTATGCCCCTCTATAATATTTTGTTTAATTGGGTTGTTTTATCTGTCTTAGGCAAGCTGTGGTCATTGCACTTTTAGTGAAGGTTGGTGTGATCTCAGACTCGCACACCTGGGACTGGGACAGCGTGGAGGCTGTAGCCACTGGACTACAGGTATGTACTGTACTTTGATCTCAACACTAAACATAGTTTTGTAAATGAGGCTTACAACTAGAAATGGGCTAGTGAGACACCGGTTTGAAATACTCGTATAATATTGTTCTTATAGTTATATGTATCTTTGACTGGCTTACCATGTATACAATATACCATTGTTACTGCAGCAACATTAATGGACTTCTGGTTACACAAGTGGAAGTAACCTTAAAGGCACAATATGTAAGATTTTTTTATTAAAATATCCAAAAACCACTAGAACAGGGTTATATATTTTGCTGACTTGTGTACTTACATTATCCCAAATGTTTCGAAGAATGTTTAAATCCAGAGAAATAAGCAATTTTAAGTAGTGACACGGACCGTGTCTATAGTGTCATTGTGTTGCCTGCCAATGATGTCATAACCCTTCGATTTCCGGTTTTGTTTTGTAGAAAACATGGAAACACCAAAGACGCTTTAATATATTGTGCATTTTAATAGACCGGTTACGACCGCACAGAGTAGCATTATAACAGAACTTTCAAATGTATCTAGTATGATAAAACAGCGATGCTTTACCCCACATACGCACGACCGGAAGGAGCGGAAGCGGTAGCGGTCGACTGTGGCATAATAAAAGCTCAGCTGCTTTCGAACCGTGTGTCACGCTCGTCTCTCATCAGCAATTGCTTCAGTGGCCTCTTTTCGCTTCGACGGCTTTCAGCCTCACCCTGCTTCATACTATGACGTTAATAAATCTTTAATATATTAGCTCATCCATGAACATGATTTCTGCCCGAGTCCCGTCGGATTGCATCGGCTGTGGGGATGAAGACCACAACTCCCATGATTCCACACTCAGTCACGGCATCATCAAACTATGCCTTTGTTTCTTTGTTTGTTTTGAATATGCGCCCTCTAGTGATGAAAACTTACATACTGTGCCTTTAAGATTAAAGGTCTGTTTTTCTGTCTTCTCACAGGACTTCATCATCTGTGTGGAAATGTTTTTGGCAGCCATTGCCCATCACTTCAGCTTCACTTACAAGCCCTACATACAGGAAGCAGAGGAAGGTTCTTGCTTTGATTCCTTCCTGGCCATGTGGGATGTCTCGGATATACAGGCTGACATCTCGGAACAAGTGCGCAATGTCGGTGAGTCACGACACAGCCTTTTCTTATTTGTGGTGAATGGTTTGAGGGTCTAGGATCTTTTTTGGATTCTTAGAAAATACTTCATCTACATTAAGCAGTCCATATCATACTTTTTACTTTTTACATACTTTTCCTGCTGCCACGGACACTCCGATTGAGTCTGACCCAGAGGCAGGGACAGATAATAGCCGGGTATAAGTTCTTGTTAGAGGTCTACTAGTAATACTAGTCTTTTGCACCTTATAGTCCTAAACGTAATATTTCCTGAACAGGAATCACTGAAATCTGTGTCAATACCAAGCGGCAACCTTCCGGTCTCTCTCATGAAACCAACACGGAAGTGACTTAAACTGTAATTCGTCAACTGGCCGCTAGAGGCTGGCTGCAAAAGGGAGTCAATCCCATAGACTCCCCATGTTAAAATGCCCAACTTTACAGCAGAAAAAAACATGTTTACAGCCTGGTTCAAAAAATGATTTTGGTCTATATAGCTAATTTTGCCCTTCATGACAACTGAGGGGGGTGAATGTTTTTATAAGTCATCCGTTTAAATTATATTAAGCCTTAAAGTTCTGCATAATTAAGGGCGTGGCCACTTGAGTGACAGGTGGATTGCCGCTGCTGTCACCACCGTCGAGCTAGGTGAGCGTGGTTTCAGCAACCAGCTCTTTTGCCCATTTTTGATTATCCGGGTGTGACGCGCTGTGACGTGCTGCCAAGATGGCGACGGCCGTCTCCGCCCACTTTGAGCTTCAAAAACGCTCTTCGGAAAACTACGGGTGACGTCACAGACACTACGTCCATGTTTTTATACAGTCTATGGTCAATACCCAGCCCTGTTTCAAACAGTTATTCGTCATATTTATGTACTTTTTTTTTTTTTTTTTAATTCAGGGAGAACTGTCATGGGTCGGCCAAGGAAAACATATTTTGGTGAAGAGGTTTGCCAGGACGAGAACACAGGACTGCTGTCAGCTGGTTCTCAGGATCCAGCCGTTGAATCGTCCTCCAACCCTCCATCCCCTAAGGGCCGTTACCAGGGCATGGGCCACACAGTAACCCCCCACTCCATCTCGGCTCCTGCCAACCTTGGCTGTGTACCATGGGATGGAGATGTTGATGACATCACGCCTACGGTGCTATCTGGTGATCATACAGACCAACAAGGCTCAGACTATGCAGCCATCACTTAACATCACTGAGCTTCAGCTACCAAATAGCTAAAGCACATCAATCTAATGTGTATTAGCTACCGTTTCGAATATATGCAGCCGCCGTTAACTCTGGTAACTATTGATACTTGTGGTTAATATGTGTTCAGAGAGGCTCAGTGAAGCTTTGGTAGCAAGAGCATATATGAAGGACTTGGGTAGTGTTAGTCCTCCATTTTTAATTATGTTTGGCATTATTTTGCTGAAAACATGACCAAATTATAAACTGACATTAGAGCCAAGCACATTAATTCCCCAATACCAGTTTTACTTTTTCACATCATCAGATGATGGTTATTTTAAGACAGCTTTATGAATGTTTATTCTAAAAAAAACAACGAAATGATAATGCTACTTCAAATTGTCATTGATGTCCTCCTGGGTTTTATCAAGTCATTTTAAGAGTTTTTTGTTGTTGTTTGTTTTTATGACATCAGTGTTACTTTCACATTTTTATCTGTGAATGCAAATGCAATTTAAGTTTTTTTTCCCCTTCCATGGAGCAGCACCTTGATCATGGACGATAATATGAAATTGCCAGGATGCCATGGAGATTTGCAACATTTTGTCTCAGCAGAATATATGCATGTGGTAAAGCAACTACAGTTTGAACATTGGCTCTAAAGCACAAAATACTGAAGCACCCATATCTCTACTTACTTCACTTCAGAGCTTAGCAACCTCTCCTGGACTCCTTGCCTTCAGAACAGCTTCATGTAATTGTGTCAAGACATAAACCCATATGTTGGTGTTCTTTCTTTTGTCCTTCTCAAAAAGTATTGGTTTTAATTGTGTTTTTATGATTTGGTTATTTTAATGATTAGACAAAGAAAATTTGGTTTAAAACCCAATTTAGTAAAGTATTGAAAATTTCGAATACTGACTTTTAAGTTCACCTCGGGAAATGATGCAATGTCTAAATATCAGCCAAAGTTGTCTTATTGGTATTAAGATTTTTTTTTTGTTTTGTTTAATTGTTTCAACAATCTGTTAGATTTAACAGCAGCTGCACATGAAATATAAATGTCAGATATAGTATAACAGTAAGGGCAGATCGTTTTATCATTACGGATGTGGACCTGTGGGAAATATTCCCATTTATTTGTTTTTATGAACCATCGTGTGTCCTTCTGATCCATTCAGAGAGATGCATTTTCTGCAATGGTTTGTACAGCTGTTGCATTGCCTAATTTAACAGTGGTTGTCACGAATCATTAAACTTTACATGCAAATGTGTATTGAGTATTTTTGAGTATTTCTACTTAATTGCGTTCCATCCAAGTTCAAAGGGTATAGTTCACCCAGAAATCATCATTTACTCACTCTCATGCCTGAAATTATTTTAATGTAAAATGTGTGCTTAATCTTAAAAATAATAAATTTGTTTACCATACAGCAATTAAATAATTGCCCATTAGCATCAATTCACTGATTTTGGAGTGTGTTATATCAGTACAGGTGCACCCCCCCCCACCCCGTCAGTATTGACAGACCCGCTGAAGAACATACTGTGAATTGATTGACGAATGGAGCAATGTTGAACCCGAGAGTCAGCTCTGTTCCCTGAACAGCACTTTCCCGAAGCAGCGTGTCTGACTCAACAAGCATCCCGTGGATCACAATGCGCTCTGGAAAAATATGTCCACCGTCCTCCAACAAACACCTGAAATGTTCACAACAAAAACTACTGTTTACAAACCTAAAAAATATAAGAACTAGCCATACTATGTTTTACATTCTTACCTAGCTAATGTTGCTTTCTCCATCAGTTTCTGTCTAATAAGGCCACAGGTCTCTATGCAGTCGAGTATGATGGCGCTCCAGAGCTTCTCGGTGGCTGGCCTTTGGAGAAGCACAGAATCGTCCTCCACGTGACGTAACCAGAACTTCAGAGCACACCGTTTCCTTTGGCCAGCAGTCTCAACATAGTCTGGTGATGCTCCTTCTCCACTGAGCTGTAGGCTTGAACCAATCCAGGGCTGATTTGTTTGTCTTCACTTGAATCGAAGCCTAACTGGGCTGCCATCAAGGAGAGCACAGAAAAGCCCTCGGAGACATCGAGCACGTAGATCGGATCGAGTTCTGTGTCTGACTGTTGTGACCTCCTAGTTGACTTAAGAGAAACCAAAAGTTTGCTCATGGCCTTTTGGAAGCTGTTATGATACACTGTGTTATTGAGGAGGGCCATCTCTGAGGACTCCAGCATAAAAGCGCAAGATGGTATCTCCTGGTTGGTTTGAAGGCCAGCCAGAGCACTGCACAGCTCAGCCTCAGGGTTTGCAGTGAGGATCTTGGGAGGTCCATTAGTTACATTGTCCATATGGAATGTGTGTCCAATGTCCATCTCTTATGATAGCAGTGCAGCATAGCCTGAGATAAGAGTCCTTACAGGAAACTTCAACCAGTATTTCATCACCACATTTCACAGTGTCTGAGGGATGACACGAATTAAAGTCAATTAGTTATTATTCAAATTATCTATATAAACTGGCTGTAGCTATACCTTTAATTGTACTCACATAACTTCAAATGATGCATATTGAACACACACACACAAAAAGTGCTGGACGAAAAAAAATAATTCTTTTTAGTTCTAGAGCAGAATGAAGAATGAATGTTCAATCTTCATGGTTTAAACAGGAATGAATCTGTACACATATTTTCTTTAAAAGAAATGTAAATTCACATGCCATCACAATCTTTAATCAAAAGCATTAACTTCCCCTCCTCCTAGCAACAACACATGCTCTGATGGACAAAATCAAGTCCCAGCCTACATTTGTTCTCATTCAAAAAATAGTTTAACTCAGTTATATATCACAATTAGGAAGAAAAGACCGCAATCCTATTTCATGCCTATTTCAAGTCATATTTCAAGAGACCCCCATTTGAGAATCACTGTTCTAGAGTCATGGTCATCTTTATACTTCTTAATCTCTATATTTTTTGCATTTATATACAGTAGCTCTTACTGAATGGACTGTGTATTGGATAGATGGCCTGCTCCCAGCATGTGTCTTCCTGTGGGCCAGTGGACAGGTGGTTGACCTGGTCGAGGTGTAGCTGAAACCATACTGGCCGAGCATCAAGAACACCCTCCTGAGTCACACACAGTCACAGCTGTGTCACCTCTCTGGAGCAAAGACCCTCCAGCTCCTGCAACACAAAGAATGCTTAGGACTGCACTCATGGCACTTTAGGTATTTCAGTTGTGTTGTTTCTCTCCCATCTGCTCCATGTTCACTGTATGTCTCCATTATACTGTTCCAAAATCTGGGGTCAGATTTTTAAATGTTTTTGTCTCTTATGCTCACCAAGGGTGCATTTACTGGATTAAAAAATACAGTAAAATAAGTAATATTGTGAAATATTATTGCAATTTAAATGGACTGTTTTCTATCTTAATATATTTTAAAATGTAATTTATTCCTGTGATGACAAAGCTGAATTTTCAGCATCCATTACTCCAGTCTTTCTTCAGTGTTGCCTGATGCTTTAGAAAGGATTTGGTGCTCAAGAAAAATGTTTCTATTGTTATCAATGTTGACAACAGTCAGACGACTTTTTTTTTCAGGATTCCTGGATGAAAGTTCAAAATACCAGCATTTATTTAAAAAATACATCTTTTTTTATATTATAAATGTCTTTACTGTAACTTTTGATCAATTGACCTGTTGCATTATCATTATTTCAACACTCGGCTCTATTCTGTAGTTCGGTACCTGCACATTATTGAAGTCTATGTCCAGAGCTGTGAAAGGCTGTGTGAGTTGAATGTATCCTCCATGCAGGCGGCTCAGTCTTTCAGTGGTGTAGGGTTCTGTGCTGTCCTCAGTATCAGCCAAACATCTAACTGGACTATAGATCTGTCCTACTGCAGACAGATCCAAGCCTCCCACTGAAGACGCACACAGCCTGCAGAAGGTCGATTAGTAATTCAATCACTAAATGTTCACTCTAATCTTTCTAAGATCATACTCAAGAGCCTGCTTCTTTAGTAACTGTGTTAAGAGAAGTGTAATATAAACTTTATCAATGTGTCACTCACACATAAGCAGCTTAGTCTCTCACCTGTGATGTCTACGGATCTCACGGCTCTGCACAGCGTCTCCAAACACAGTTGCACCAGCAGGTATTACCCGGCCCGTTTGTGAGGGATTGGGCAAGGGTTCTCCAGTGTTCTATTGAGATGATTTAATAATCAATTGTTGGAATAGATTGAAAATCATTTTTTCTATTAAATCCAAACTGTTTATATTAATTTATAGCTGCTATATACAACTGTATACGTCCAGCCATTAGGAAACTTAACATGCTGCTAAAAACATATTTTCTAAAAATGACTTTAGAACTGATTCACCAACATTTGTATGTTTCTCAGACAACCACTAGGTGTCCCTGTTGCCCCAGAATTTATATAACGTGAGGCTACTCTCTGACACTGGTACGGGAAAAAGCTTTACAAATTTAAAGTAAGGATTTAGAAGAAAGGATCTGGTTCTAGTACGACATAGTATGTAATCTTTTGCCAAGCATGCTATTAACGTTGGGCCAAGACAACTTTAATTTTCAGAGACAAACATCTCTTAGTCACTGACCACAGCCAGATAAACATCGGATTATACAGGATTCTAATCAGGATCTATTGTTGTTCTTCTTTCTATCAATGAAAGAATCTGAAAAAAGAAAATCTAGCACAGTTTCCACAAAAGTGTTAATAAACGCAACTGATTTCAACATTGATAATAATAAGAAATGTTTCTTGAGCAGCAAATCAGCATATAAGAATGATTTTTGAGGGATCATGTGACGATCATGTGAAGACTGGAGTAATGGTTGCTAAAAAACTCAGCATTACAATCACTGTAATCACATTTTTAACATGTATTAAAATAGAAAACAGTAACTTTAAATTCTAATAATATTTCACAGTATCACTATTTTTACTGTATTTTCAATCAAACAAATGCGACCTTGATGAGACAAAAAAATAAAATAAAATAAAATCTTACTGGTGTGCCAAACTTTTGAATGGTAGTGTAAATTATATATACGATTATATCATAAGATCTGTGCTTGGGAACAAAGCACTTTTTTTTTTCCAGTTTAAAACTGTCAATATGAATCTGGTTACTATATACAGCAATATTCACCTGTTTGGAATGTCTTTTGGAATTTCCATGTCCAGAGACTTCAGGTGAAGGATCTTGATGCTATCTGCCATCCCATTGGCTGAGAGCACCTCGCATGCCAGCTCATACATTGTCTTTGACAGCTCACAGGCATAGACTTCAGCAGCGCCTGCCATCTTTGCACACATACTAACATGCCAACCAAAAAGCGTCAAACCACACTCACTGTATATCAGTTGAAACAGACGTTTGTTTAATAACAATGTTATGTAATAAGTCTCTGAAAAATCTCACCCGAGGATGCATGCCCGTGCCAGTTCCAATATCCAGAACGGAGCTGCATCCTCCCTCAACAGCTTTCTTGATAGCCAACTGGTATTTGTGGTTCCGCCCATGGTCACTGAGCATTAAGAAGTGCCAGCGTTCCACCAACCAGTTGGCAACACGGTAAAAGTTCTCCTTTGCCTCTGGGAAGTCTGGTCGGAGTTTAAGGGCTTTGTAAAAATGGCCAGCAGCTTCATTCCGAAATCCCATTCTGAAATAAAAGAAACCAACTCAGGATTGTTTTTATTTATTTATTTTTGTACTTATACCACAAATATATATTCTTAAGGATATCAAAACCTAAAATAAAATTCCTGAAATGTGTAAAATATGTGACCTTTAATTATTGTAAAGGAACAACATAGGTCAACATTCAGAGGTTTGGGATCAGTATGTATATTCCAAATAAACTTTCAGTTATATTTTAAACTTTCTTTATATTCATCAAAAGAATCCTGTAAAAAGAAGGGGAAAAAAAGCATGATTTTCATAAAAATATTAAGAAGCACAATTGTTTTCAATTGTGATAATAATAAGAAATGTTTCTTGAGTACCAAATCAGCATATTAGAATGATTTCTGAAGGATCATGTGACACTGAAGACTGGAGTAATGATGCTGACAATTCAGCTTTGCCATCACAGGAATAAATCGCATTTTAAAATATATTAAAATAATAAAAAATAATATATGAATATTTCACAATATTACTGTTTTTACTGTATTTTCATCAAATAAATGCAGGCTTGGTCAGCAGAAGAGACTTATTTTAAAAGTATGAAAATATATTACCGACCCTAAACTTTTAAACAGTAGTGTAAACATTATATTTTATTATCTCTGTAACTTTTTTATTTTACACAGATTAAACCAGTAAATAGCAGATCAAAGAGGAAAAGAAAAGAAGCCTAAACAGATGCTCTCCCATGCTATTCACTATAACCTCATCCACTGGAAACAACTCCAAAGCTTGTTCATAGCAATCAAATAGGTCCTGGATACGTCCAAGAGAGTCCAGCTCATCAGCCCATTTAAACAGAGTGAATCTAAAGGACTCCTGTAAGTTCAAAAACACACATTTACAATAAGGTTCTGAAGCTAGATCAACTTCACCACACAGGTGCAGTAAAGAGACTGAGGAAGCATGAGGGGGCTTACATTTGCAAAGTCTTTTAGAGCTGGGGCAAGATTTAGAGCCAGCAGATAGTGAACAAAAGCAGTGCCATAGTCCTGACTGAACAGACACTGCTGAGCACTTTCCAATGATCTTGACACCAGCTCATTTCTTGCAGCATCTTCTCTCTGAACTCGTCTATGACGCCTCGTCCTCTTTGGTCTTGTAGTGCACTCTAAAAAATGCTGGGTTAAATATAACCCAGCGCTGGGTTAAAAAGAGACAAACCCAGCTATTGGGTTGTTTTGACCCAGCGGTTGGGTTCAAAACAACCCAACTGCTGGGTCAAAACATTGTCATGTTGGAAGATCCAACCATGGCCCATTATAAGATTTCTAGCATGGACAGTCAGTTTTATATTTTTTATCCATTGGTATTTTATAGAATCCATTATGCCATCTATCTGAACAAGATGTCCAGGATCTCCAGCAGAAAAAATAGGCCCACCACATTAAAGATCCAGCAGTATATTTCATTGTACACATGAGGTACTTTTTTATCCCTGTGTGCACCAAACCCATCTTGAGAGTTTGCTGCTAAAAACTATTTTTTTGTTGTTTTGTTTCATCTGATCATTGAACCCAGTCCCGTTTAAAGTTCCAGTCGTGTCTAGCAAATAAATATGCTAGAGTTGCTTGAAACCTTCCCAAACAACATTTTTTTTTTTTTTTAGGCTTTCTGACCCCAAGACTCAACTATTTTCTGCAGTTCTCCAGCTGTGATCCTTGGAGTCTTTGGCCACTCAAACTCTCCTCCTCACGCTATTGGGTTGTTTTGACCCAGCGGTTGGGTTCAAAACAACCCAACTGCTGGGTCAAAACAACCCAATAGCTGGGTTTGTCCCTTTTTAACCCAGCGCTGAGTTATATTTAACCCAGCATTTTTTAGAGTGTGGCATTAGGCATCTTTTCTGTGTATGACAGAACTGATCATGTACTGTATCACAAGCTAAAGTTGAGAAATTGTCAAATATAAACATGCAAAAAAAGTATTTAGTGTGAAATGTAACACGTTTCAATTTATTTCAGTTGATTTGAGTATACTGGATGTTTGGAGCTACAGTTGTGCTCAAAATTATTTATACCCTTGGTAAATATGATCAAAGAAGGCTGTGAAAATTAATTTTCATCTGACCATTGAACTCAGTTCCGTTTAAAGTTCCAGTCGTGTCTAGCAAATAAATATGCTAGAGTTGCTTGAAACCTTCCCAAACAACATTATTTTTTTTTTTAGGCTTTCTGACCCCAAGACTCAACTATTTTCTGCAGTTCTCCAGCTGTGATCCTTGGGGTCTTTGGCAATTCAAACTCTCGTCCTCACCGTGCATTAGGACAACATTGACACACGTCCTCTTACTGTATTAGAGAAAAATATATATTTCATAATATGATTTTCCCTCACTTTCACTTTTTGTTTTTTTTACTTTAATTAAAGGTTAGATTTTTTTTTTTTAATGAAAGACCAAGTGGATAAACAATGCAGATTTATTTTCACAGCCTCCTTTGATCATATTTACCAAGGGTATGAATAATTTTTAGCACAACTGTAGTAGCTCCAAATCTAGTAGCTGTAAGCCTATTCATGTAATGATAATAAAATATAATATAAAAATGACTATTTATTAAGTATTATTTATTCATATTTAATCCAACAAACCTTTTAGTTAAAAAAAAATGCATGCAGTAGATATAGCAAACGTGATGTGATTAAAAAATGGTGATAATAAGAAATAAAGGGTTTCATAAATTGTCATATATCAGAATAACAACACTGAACATTACGGTTTTCCTCCACATACATAAGAAACCCGAATAATTACATGCTGTTGTTTAATATGCATCATGTATTGTTTAATTTAACAATTTCAGCATTATTTGTTTGTAAAATTTCCAATCTTTGGATTGAAGATGTTAAGGTTGATTTATGGTTCTATTTACCTAGCTCAGGTTTGCTAGTTAAGATCGCTGGACTGTGTATTTATTAATTTCCCTGTGGACTCCAGCCTGTCGCTATCATTAAACCACAAACTGCGTTTTAAAAAAATTGTGTATATACATTGTTTTATCCTTATATTTATAAGCTACTTTAGAGCAGCTCTGCTCCTGAGTCCTGTACTGCAGGTCCGCACTGCAGAATCAGGCGGACGGAAACAACATCCGCTATTTTAGAGTTCCACATAAGATTTAAACACACTGCTGACAACCCTCTAGTATTATCGCATTCATGGATGGAGTTTATCGAGAAACAAAAAAAAAAATCTAATACTTATGCCGAATGATTTATACAGCTGGAAGAGAAGTACATTTCCATAACAACACTTCCCGCGGACCCCCAATTACCCCGGCTTTCCAGAGAGCCAAGCGTGATGACGTGATGGCTGAAAAAGCACGCGGGAGGAGACGGAGACTGGTGCTCGACTGTCATTCGCGGACCAAAAACCGGACTGGACTTTATTTCAATAGATATCCGTGTAGTGTAGAGCTGTTTTAGCGTATTTTGCGAGAGTTTAAACACGGGACATACTTAATATACCCGGATCCAAGGTTAACAATACTCGTGCGACTTGGAAAGAGATTTATTCACACGAGAACTCCCGACGCGTTTGCTCTTACTAAAATATACGAGGCAACTTAGCTTTCCGTTCCATTTTAATTTTGTTTCTTTATTCGACCAGTTTCTATTCATTCGCTGGTCGCTTTCTAAACGGATTTAAACGCTAGCTAGTCCAGTAAAAATGGGTTTGCACCCGTTGGAGTTCAGTGAATCTTACCTGGACAGTCCTGCTTTCAGGGATAAAATCAAAGCTCATGAAGCAGAGCTGGACAAAACCGGCAGGTTTATCAAAGAGCTATATAAAGATGGGAAGAATCTCATCAATGCCACAAAACGTAAGTGCCATGTCATTTTATCTCTGCTTTTAGACTTAATGTGTAAATAATTGTGCTTTAAATGAAGATAAAGCTTGCCATGTGATCCGGTCTATGCAAATGTCATATAAGCAACCCCAAACAGTCAAACTGGTTATTTTTTATTTTTTTTTGGTCAAGGTCACCATGTCATTCCTATTGACACTTTTACCCGAGACCTTGCTAGAGTAGTTTTGCTGGTCTCGAGAGTAACATGGCTCATTTGGTGTAGCGCAGAGAAAATGAGCTTGCGTGGCATAGCATTTGCTGACCTCATCCAGTTTTTGGGTTATGATTTACATGGACTGTGTGCAAGTCATCAGGTGTCCTACAAGTTTGTTTTTTGGTCTGTTTACATTAGGGCTTTTTGCAGCACTTATGTAATTTAAAAAACAATATATATATTTTTTTTTTGAAAGGCCATTTTTCTCAGTTCAGACATCAGCAGTTATGCATTTTCATTTGTGGCATATCACCTCTGTCATGTGACCCTCACTTGCACCTCCACGTGTAAACTTTTATTGTAAACATTTCATGCCCCTTCCCATTATGCATTTGTTATGTTCTGCCTTTTTTTCTGCCAGAACAAATTGGCTAAAAATAAAGCTTGCATATTACGCCTTGGATGTTCAGACCTTTTTTTGGATATGTTTGAATTATTAGGATCTGCAGTGTCTAGGTAGACTTATCTTTAATATGAGTGTTTATTCGGATAGCAGGACATTTTTGTGCAGATTAAAATGGAAGACCAAATGTTTTTAGGTGCTGGAGGGTTTTATGCTGAAACATTTTTTGGTGAATTGTTTCTTTTAGAGTTTGTAGTTCGTTCCTCTTTCTTTTTTCAGTCCTGTGTGTGATGTGTTAATAGTGTCAGCGCTTCTAAATAATGCTAAATATGGCTAAATTAAGATGTGCAGGACAGCAGGCTCATGGTACATAAGCCCACACAACCACTGCCCACATAATAATGATGGCTTGGTTAGCTTAGTTTTACTTGGCTTAAAACATAGGAAACATAAAGCAATAACCAATAATAGCATACATAATTGGTGAACTGAACATTGGCTGGCCCTTAGGTTGATTTAGTTAACTCATGGGTTTCCCACAGGAATATGAAAAATAAGCAAAAACGTTATCCTTTGTGACCACTTTTTTTTTTTTTGTTATTTAGTAGTTTTGAATTTAGTCTGTTCATTCAGTTTGGAATGCACACGTTATGCTAAAGACAGATAAATGACTTCCTCTTGACATTTAGCAAGTTTTGTGTCCATGGTCATTTTTGCAGGTAATGCTGCATTTTTTACTACTACTACTACTAATAATGATTATTGTTATTGTTATTATTATTATTATTAATTTGATATGTGACTGTCAAAAGTGTCAACTTAAACATTTTTTAAATCCCATTTATATTGAAATGTATTCTTTGAAATTTAAAGTAATTTAAATTTTTGACTCGTCAAAGTAGCCACATTTTGAAGCTATAACAGCTAAACATACCTGTTGCATTCTATGGAAATCAAATATTTCTATTGGTGGAGTTCGAATGGAGGTGTATATGTCTGATCATTATATTTCTGTAATTACTGTAGCAGCCAGTAATCTGTAAATATAGAAGCCAGCTTGAGCATTGAACATTGCCATGTCATTTTATCTCTGCTTTTAGACTTAATGTGTAAATAATTGTGCTTTAAATGAAGATAAAGCTTGCCATGTGATCCGGTCTATGCAAATGTCATATAAGCAACCCCAAAGAGTCAAACTGGTTATTATTATTTTTTTTTTGGTCAAGGTCACCATGTCATTCCTATTGACACTTTTACCCGAGACCTTGCTAGAGTAGTTTTGCTGGTCTCGAGAGTAACATGGCTCATTTGGTGTAGCGCAGAGAAAATGAGCTTGCGTGGCATAGCATTTGCTGACCTCATCCAGTTTTTGGGTTATGATTTACATGGACTGTGTGCAAGTCATCAGGTGTCCTACAAGTTTGTTTTTTGGTCTGTTTACATTAGGGCTTTTTGCAGCACTTATGTAATTTAAAAAACAATATATATATATTTTTTTTGAAAGGCCATTTTTCTCAGTTCAGACATCAGCAGTTATGCATTTTCATTTGTGGCATATCACCTCTGTCATGTGACCCTCACTTGCACCTCCACGTGTAAACTTTTATTGTAAACATTTCATGCCCCTTCCCATTATGCATTTGTTATGTTCTGCCTTTTTTTCTGCCAGAACAAATTGGCTAAAAATAAAGCTTGCATATTACGCCTTGGATGTTCAGACCTTTTTTTGGATATGTTTGAATTATTAGGATCTGCAGTGTCTAGGTAGACTTATCTTTAATATGAGTGTTTATTCGGATAGCAGGACATTTTTGTGCAGATTAAAATGGAAGACCAAATGTTTTTAGGTGCTGGAGGGTTTTATGCTGAAACATTTTTTGGTGAATTGTTTCTTTTAGAGTTTGTAGTTCGTTCCTCTTTCTTTTTTCAGTCCTGTGTGTGATGTGTTAATAGTGTCAGCGCTTCTAAATAATGCTAAATATGGCTAAATTAAGATGTGCAGGACAGCAGGCTCATGGTACATAAGCCCACACAACCACTGCCCACATAATAATGATGGCTTGGTTAGCTTAGTTTTACTTGGCTTAAAACATAGGAAACATAAAGCAATAACCAATAATAGCATACATAATTGGTGAACTGAACATTGGCTGGCCCTTAGGTTGATTTAGTTAACTCATGGGTTTCCCACAGGAATATGAAAAATAAGCAAAAACGTTATCCTTTGTGACCACTTTTTTTTTTTTTGTTATTTAGTAGTTTTGAATTTAGTCTGTTCATTCAGTTTGGAATGCACACGTTATGCTAAAGACAGATAAATGACTTCCTCTTGACATTTAGCAAGTTTTGTGTCCATGGTCATTTTTGCAGGTAATGCTGCATTTTTTACTACTACTACTACTAATAATGATTATTGTTATTGTTATTATTATTATTATTATTATTAATTTGATATGTGACTGTCAAAAGTGTCAACTTAAACATTTTTAAAATCCCATTTATATTGAAATGTATTCTTTGTAATATCTTAATAAAAAAAATCAATAAATAAATAAATACATTTAAGTAATTTAAATTTTTGACTCGTCAAAGTAGCCACATTTTGAAGCTATAACAGCTAAACATACTTGTTGCATTCTATGGAAATCAAATATTTCTATTGGTGGAGTTCGAATGGAGGTGTATATGTCTGATCATTATATGTCTGTAATTACTGTAGCAGCCAGTAATCTGTAAATATAGAAGCCAGCTTGAGCATTGAACATTTTTAAAATCTGAACTGCACTGTTGGGATCATTAGTAAGTGGAAACAATTGAAGCTTTAGGCCCTATCCCAAATGACTCCGTGTCTTCGAGTTCACAATTTAGTGTCATAATGCTGGCAGAAGTATTTTTTTATTTATTTTTTTGTAATTTTGGATTCAATCCCCATTGGTTTCATCCATGTGAATACCACCATGAGTACTTGTGGCACAGTAACAAAGTAATTGCCCCTACTAGGTAATAAATCAGGATGAAAGGATGTTAAAAGAATGAATTAATAATGTGGTTGGTCTCCAAAAGCAGTTTGTTCATAAAAAATACTTGTGAGAAATCCATTATTTCATCATAACTCTGACTGAGAGTATGCAAAGATGTATAATATGTGTTGTTGATAGATAGAGGTTCATGATTTAGAATTGGCCGCATATGGAGCACATATGGAAACCTAGTGTGAAAGCACCTTCAGTTAACACGTTATCTTTGGTTGGTCACTCTAGTGAATACAGTGAGCATTAGCTAGCTTGCAAATTAGACATGCTTCCACTTAGATGACCTGAATGATCGCAACACAACTGAGTTATTAGCAATGTATTTGGAGCGTGCATCCTTCAAACAGACAACTGCTATGGCCATAATTCAGATTTATTGCATACTACGGAATTAAGCATTTCAGTTAGGGTTGGGCCGATAGACGATGTCATCGTCCATCGCCGATGGCTGATAGACATCACGATGTTGTGCCGAATTCTGCACCCCTGCCAGATTATGCACCCCCTCATTGAAGTCGTTACCTGATTGCCTTATCCCAACCCCACCCCTAATCCTAACCCCTCCCCCACACCTACTCCTAAACCTACCAATACTAGGGGGTGCATAATCTGGCAGGGTGCAAATTTCGGCACTACACCGGCACGGTATCAATACCGTGTTCGGAAAGAAAATGACATGTATACGGAACCCCTAAAGGGAATAAATACGAGATGGGAGGAAAATATATATTTCAATATTTTCTTTCACAGTTATATCATTGGGTAGGCTAATTATACTACATATATATTTTGGGCATCAGGGAGCCACTATTATACCTGGCATTGAAACTGCGCTTTTGAATGCACGATCGCTTTTTAGTTTCACTTTCACTTTTGAGATTCGCGATCACACGTTCTCTGTTTATACTATGGAGCAGCAGTACTTGCCACACATTTTACAAGATTAGATGTTTGCCAGTGGTGCTGAGGATCTGCAAATCATTCGCCATAGACCTCACTTATCTCTCATTACTCTGTTTATGTGGTAAGTGAAATTTTATGTACTGTAATGTAACAGGCAACCGTTACAACGTGTCTACACCGGACGCGACAGTTGTCGTGTCGCGCCACACCGCATCAGCTAAAGTCTGTCTACACTGGACGCGACAAAGCGACCGTAGAAAAAAATTCCGCATCCAGTGTAGACAGCATCACTGATTATAATGAGTTCTATACACTGATCTATAATGGATCTCTATTATAGATCAGTGGTTCTATAGTATTTTGTCGCATCGCGCCGCTCGCGTCCGGTGTAGACACGGTGTTAGGAATAGTTATGTTTTCCGTGCCTTATAAGGATTGACGCTTCGGGCACACCCCCTAACTCCAACGCCAAACGCCACCA